CTAAGTTAATTTCTTCTTGAAAAACATGTAGAAATTTATAATTATATAATATAGAAGATACAATTTCTTAATCAACACAAAAGGTACATTTATTCCTATTTATACACAGGAGAATTTAACACTTTTATAATTCCATCTGACAAGCCCAAAACATAAGCAGTCTTAACAGTAAGCAAGAGATTCTTCTTTTGTGATAGAAATTGAGTTTTTCACATCAATTTCATAAGTCATATTTACTAACTACTGAAAAGTGAGTGTCTTCCTATCCATTCACTTAACTTAAAAGGACACAGCAACCCCTGAAAATGTCAAGTTTTAGTAGCAGCTTCCCTAATTATCCAATAATCCCAAAATAGATTACTTTCCTTCTTTTAAAGTTCAGGTTTGGTAGAATAGGTATTATGCAAATTAAGAGGTTTGAATTATAGGTTTAAAATACAAGTTGCCAACAATATGAACTAGGTGCATTAAGCATATTTCTGTAATCATCCCAGGAAACTGTGCCAGAAGTTTGGCAATTTAGTATTTAGTCAGTACTGAAGTATATGCTTTCTGTTCTTTAAATATCAATTGTCACTGACCAGCAATTATTAAATTAAAACATATCATGAGAATTCTACCACTGAACCACCCAGAAAGACAAACATGGTATGTACTCACTCATAGGAGGGTACTAGATGTAAAACAAAGAAGACTAGACTGCTCTCACAACTCCAGGGAGGCTACCTAGAAAACAGGACCCTAAGAAAGACACAGGGATCGCCCAATGACAGAGAAATGGATGAGATCTACATGAACAGCCTGGACATGAGTGGGGGTAATGAAGGGCGAGGGTTGAGGGAAAGAGAGCTTGGGGGAGCGGGAGATCCCAGCTGGATCAACAACAGAGAGGGAGAACAAGGAATAGGAGACCATGGTAAATGAAGACCACATGAGAACAGGAAGAAGCAAAGTGCTAGAGAGGCCCACAGAAATCCACAAAGATCCCCCACAACAGACTGCTGGCAATGGTCAAGATACAGCTCGAACTGACCTACTCTGGTGATGGGATAGCCAAACACCCTAATTGTCTTGCTAGAAACCCCATCCAAATACTGAGGAATCTGGATGCAGAGATCCATGGCTAGGCCCCGGGTGGATCTCTGGTAGTCCAATTAGCGAGAATGAGGAGGGTTTGTATGAGCAAGAATTGTTGAGACCAAGGTTGGATAAAGCACAGGGACAAATAGCCAAACGAATGGAAACACATGAACTATGAACCAATGGCTGAGGGGTCACCAAATGGATCAGGCCCTCTGAATGGGTGACAGCTGATTGGCTTGATCTGTTTGGGAGGCATCCAGGCAGTGGAACCGGGTCCTGTGCTCATTGCATGAGTTGGCTGCTTGAAACCTGGGGCCTATGCAGGATCACTTGGCTCGGCCTGGGAGGAGGGGACTGGACCTACCTGGACTGAGTCTACCAGGTTGATCTCAGTCCGTGGGGGAGGCTTTGCCCTGGAGGAGGTGGGAATGGGGGGGTGGGCTGGGGGGAAGGTGAGGGGGCCCTGAGGGGGCCCGGAGGGGGGAGAACAAGGGAATCCGTGGCTGATATGTAGAACTGAATTGTATTGCAAAATGAAAATAAAAATTTAAAAAAAAAAACAACAAAAAAAAACATATCATGAAAATGTTTACTGTTAACCATTAATTTTTCTTATTACTAGGAGTAATAAGTGCCCTACCATACATATTCCAGCCTAATGTTCCATGCCAGTACAAACTTTGATAATAAACACAATTCCTAATAATTATCTTCGGACAGTAAAAATGAAGAAAGATTGGCTGAAACTTAACAAAAGAAATAAGAATATTTATACTAGAGAGGGCAGTCCTATGACACAAACATTCATTACACTCAAATTCAGACCTGTGTATCGTATTCCTTTCCCCCCCCCCCGCGCGCGCGCACGTGTGTGTGTGTGTGTGTGTGTGTGTGTGTGTGTGTGTCTGTCTGAATTCTAGAAACCTTTACAAATTAAGTTAGATTCCCATTTATCTTCCTAGCTTCATTAGGTTTGGCTAGTATTCCTTCACTTCTGTGATTCACTCTCCAAAGAGAATTCTTAGTAACTTCATTTTCTAATCAGTAAAATGAAAAAGAACCACAAACTATTTCAAGATAATTAAAACTTGATTAAGCAGAATAACAATGAAATAATGAACTAAAATCTCCTAATCAGTTACTGATGTCAGAAATAAAACTTATAAAACATCACAACAAAGCAGAAAAAGATGAAACTAAGTGCCTTCCCAACCTCCCTTGCTCAACTATATTTATAAAGAATGTTTAAAATGGTAGTATATAGGAACTACTTGCTAGGTGTTGAGCTAGGCAAAACACACAAGAAATAAGTTACTCCAATGCTTACTTGGAGTAAAAGGCATGCTTTCTGGATGGTTGCTAAATAAGTATTAAGTACAGACAGACTGAGAATTCTTTATCTGAAATGTTTGAAATTGAAGTGTTCCCAGGTTAAGGCTGTTAGATTTTAGAATATCTGCATGTAAGAATGAGTTATGTTGGTGATGGGAATCCACAATTAAAACAACATTCATTATCTTTTATAGTTTATACTCAAGTCTGAAGCTGATTTTATTCAATATTTTTAATAACTTAGTCCATGATGTGTAATTTTCCACTTCTAATGTCATGTCAGTTTTTAAAGCCCCAAATACCAAAAAGTTTCTATGTGACAAAGGAAACTATCAGCAGAGCACAGACAACCCCACAGAACAGGAGAAGTCTTTACCAGCTATACTTCAGAAAAGAAGTTAGTATCTAGAACATTCAAAGAATTGCAAAAATTAAATAACAAGGAAATAAAACTGCCAAAATCAACAAATGGGCTAATGAACTGAACAGACAGTTTTCAAATAGAGAAACACAAATGGTCAATAGCTATTTCAGAAGTCTTTAATATCCTTAGCCAACGAGGAAATGCGAATTAAAACTTTGAGCTAATACTTGACCCTAATCAGAATGACTGTCATCAAGAAATTTGATAACAAATGTTGAAGAGACTGTACAGACAAGGAACCCTTATTCACTGCTGGTAGGGATGCAAATTAATACAGGCATTATGGAAATCAGTTTGAAGAATTCTCAAAAACAGAACTATCATATGACCTAGTTATTACTCCTGGGCATACACCCAGAGGATTCCACACACCATCACAGAGATATCTGCACCCCATGTCTAATGCTTCTTTATTCACTGTAAACAGAAAACAGAACCGACCTAGCTGTCCATCCACAAACAAATGGACATATATAAAGTGGAATACTCAGCTCTTAAAGAAGACACAAATTAACAAAATTTGTAGGAAAATGGATGGCTTTAAACATAGGTTCAGTGAAAAGGAGAAGAAAGGGTTAATATTAGGTAATGAGGAAGAAATGAATGTAGGTAACTGATACTTGAATCCTGAAAGAGATTATATAGTTTTTTTTTTTTTCATTTTAATTCTGTCATGGATTTTTTTCATTTTTTGTGGCGGATAAGTGAGTAAAAAATATATTTGACATTGAAAATGTAAAATCCAATGTGAAGCCTACAGCATCAGAATACTCTAACTGCATAATATGTTCACTGAGATGTATAGACTTTGGATCTCACTATTTTCTCTGCATAGTGTTTTTTTTTTAATTTACAAGTTTTTTATAATAAAGTCTTAATTATAAAAATTTAACAAGTTTTGGAAGCACTTCATATTTTGGGTTTTCAGATTAAGGATGTTCAATCAATTCCTTATTCTCTTCTCAGTACTTCCGCATTTCTTTCTACATGTTCACAAGCTAAAATTTTAATTGCACACAGCTACCTTCTCAAAGTTGAAAACTGTATTTTCCAGAAAGGCTTATACAAACTCTCTTCTCAAGAAAGGTGTTATAAAGTAATAAATCTACTTTGTGTTTATCATACAAGCTCCTTATGAAATGTTTCAGACAGAAGTTCATTTCCAATTGTTGAATTAAGATTCCTCCTAAAAAGGTGCTTGCTATTGAACTGTACAAAGTTCTGTGAGAACACCCCAGCTGGGATGAAGAGTGAGTGGACAAGTGAATGAATAAATGAACCAACTATAAAAAGAAAACTATTCAACAAGGATCAAGAAAATCAAGTCTTGAAAAATTAATTCACTCATAAATATAATACTAACCTACATTAACTGACATCTCTATGAACACTGTAATGCAACACTTGTGAAAAAATAAATACACAGCATGATAGAGCATGTGGGACTAGACTCAGGAGCCGAATTATGAACTTTAGAAAACTAAAATTCAGAAAACAAATGTTTCGCTTATGAATCTGCAAAAGATGAAGAGGATATAGGGGCTATTCGATCCAATATTAACCCACGGGCAAAAAAATAAGGTTACTAATTAAACTTCACTTATGATAGCACACATATCAAACTCAGGTTTGAGGCTAAACTTAGGTTTCTTTTAAAGCAAAGGAAAACAAATACATACGTTCACTGAATCCCACAAAGAACTACCTCGCCTACCAACAGCACCTCACTAGCGTACTCATTTATTTAAAAAAAAAAATCACATTCTAGATTCCTCGATTGTTAAAATTCACCCACAACCCTCAACTCTGTAACCCAATCTAGTCACTTTTCTGTGTAGTGGGGAAAACCTAAGCCAACAGATTTCCCTTCCAAAAATCTACGCGAAAGAAATGATGTTGCCATGGCTTTGTAACATACAAAAAAAAAGAAAGAAAAACAAGTTACGCACTGAACAGAAAAAATCTAGTCTAGTGGCCACGCTGTGTCCGCACACGTGAGCAATCGCTCTGGAGTTTTCAATCCCAGCGCCACCTACAAACTTAGGGGAGCCGGACGCACCGCCGAGGGATGACAGCTCGGCCCGCGGCTCTTCCGGGCTCTGCGACCTGCCCCGCCGCACACTCCTGCTCGGCCGCCAGCGCCCTCCCTCTCCCAGCTCACCTCAGCCCGGCCGCCGCACGCGCCTCCGGCCTCCTGAAGGTTTGCTTCCTCTTCCCGCGGGAGCGGAGCGGAGGGCTGCGCCCTGCGATCCTCCGCAGCCCTCGCGGGCGGGCGGGGGTCGCTCGCTACCACGGCGTAGCGCGGTGGGGTGCCCGGCTGGGACAGACCCACACACCCACGGACCGGCGCGCAGGGACGAGGAGGGGCGGGGCGGGCGCCGGCGACACGTCACCGGCCGCGACGCCGGCGTCGACGCGTCAGCGCCTCGCCGCCCTGGGCCCCGCCCACCCAGGCGCCGTCCGCAGGCCCGCGGGCGTGGGAGCGACGTCAGCCTCCGGGTCAGCGCGTGGCCGGCTCTAGTTGGCGAGCCCCCAACTAGACCCCCTCGTCTTCCTCACCCCAACTGATAACTCCTGATAACTGCATGGGGGGACACAACCGTGAGTCAGAGTTCTCGTGGTCCTTAGAAGGTTCCGCCCGCCTGCTCTAGGTGCAAGTTTCGTTTTCCCTAAGTTTCATGTGTTCTCGACTTAGTACTTCTGAAGTTATTTCTGACCGTCAAAACAAAACACCTGGCGATACCCTAGTGCAACTGGCAAATTTAGGAAAGCTAACCTAAAGTACGCTGCATTGTTGTTAAGTTTGGTGAGCCAGGATGTCATACGTTGTCTCCCTACCCTTCTAGTACCCTTCTTCCCTAGACTTACCTGTTTTATAGAAGCCGCCAGAATTGATCGAATAAGCTTCCCTTGCCAGACTCATTGGAAAGTCTATACTGAGTATGATAAGAAGACCTCAATCACGGTAGAATTATTGGGATTAGAATAATGACGATAAACCAGGCGAAGAAGTGAAGTGTATGAAACTGGATAGGATTCAATGAAAGGAAAAGTTACTGGACTTTCAACAATATGAAAGACCCATCGTATGATACGGGTTTGTTTTATGTGACCTGAACTTTATGAAAAAAGATTTCAGATTCAGAGAGTCTCTTCTAACAATCCGAAGAGCTATATGCACCACAGAAGAAATAGATGACCATCCCAGCCGCTACATTTTTAAGTAGATGCTAAATGCTTACATAATAGAAATTTGGGACAAGGGAGAAGCATACCAAGAGAGTTGGTGACTGGATTTGTTAAAAGTTATCCCATTTTTAAGATTTGAGGAGTCTGGTTCTGTGCAGCCTTTCAGAAGCCTACAGTCTAACTCATTTTACCACCAGACTAGAATTAGGGATCCTAAAGATTCTTGGTCTCACTAGAGAAAGAATTCTAGGAGAGACACGTAAGAGACTTAAGCAAAAGAAGATTCACTATAGTAAAAAGGCATAAGCAGATTCCCAACTGAGGTGGCGAATCTGAGAATCCAAGTACAGCTGGTGTAAGTTGGAGAGTAATATTTTGCTAATCTTAGGCACATAAATATGGAATTTTCAGAAATTTAGAGAGCATTTCTAGGAAGCAGGGAAGGAAGAGTGATTTGATCAAACATGGAATTATGGAACCAACATGATTTACGGTGATGTATACATTAAAACTGCAACTATAAATGAGATGCTAATGAATTTCTGGCTATACTTTTGGATTTAAGAGTTCCTGCAGCATTCCGGTAACACTCGTATAGAGTACACTTGAAAGTAACAGCAGGCTGGCACACAGCGCCCCTCGGTAAGGCTTAACCGTTAGATTAGATATGTTTCATTTTTCTCTATCTCCCCAACCTTCCCAGTAAATGAGACAAGATAAATGAGTGTGAGAGAGAGAGAAAGGAAGAAGGAAGAGGAGAAGAAAGGAGGCCATGTAATATGGAGGAGATATTTTAGCTTATACTTGAAACTGTCTCTGTCCCATGGTTGAGCCACCAGCCAGATTTGGCAGTTCAAAGTAGAAATATGACTTGGCCAGGTAATAAATACAAAATATATGCCATATTTTTAAAGACTTAAGAAGAAGGTAAATATGAACTATCAACTTTTTATTTTGTTTTGAAATAATTTTTCGTATATTAAGCCAAATGTAATATAATTATTCCAGCTGTTTTCACTTTTTTAAATGTAAATCTAGATATATTTTTTACCCTTTTGTATTCTCAAGAAGGTTTTCCAAATGTTTATTGAGAAACAGTCTACTGAATATGACTCCTAATTTGGTGAAGGAAGAATGTCTAGAAAGTTTTTCCTAAGCAAAGCAAAAAGTAAATGCACTCTGATAACTAGCAACTTATCTGTCTATATTGAGAGGTTATTTCAATGTTTTTGTTATTTTTAATTTTATTTATCCCTGTGTGTGATGTATGTGTGTGGGCACATGCGATTGTGTGTGTATATGTGTGTGTGAGACTGTTTTTTTTCCGAGACAGGTTTTTTTCTGTGTTGTTTTGGTGCCTGTCCTGGATCTTGCTCTGTAGATCAGGCTGGCCTTGAACTCACAGAGATCCGCCTGGCTCTGCCTCCCAAGTGCTGGGATCAAAGGCATGCACCACCACCGCCCGGCTGTGTGTGACTTTTTAATACATTTTTTCTTCAGGTTTTTTAAGTCTTTTCTTATGAAAGAAGCAAAAAAAACTATGAAAAATGTTTTATTATAGTAATATACATCAGCCACGCTACTGATCTTCAAACTTTAAAGTTTGTGCTTACATCAAGGGTCAGCAAAATCTATCCAACTTTCATACTTCATCATTATACAGCTTGTTACTTCTGCAATGACAGCCAATTGTTGCTGTGAATCAATCAAACTGGATACACCTCAGGTGAAATAGGAGAGGTAAAGGCCAACTACAAAGTTGGAAGCACAGTCTCCACCCTCATTTCTAAGACCAATTACAAGTTTGAGAAGGGAATAAAATCTCTAGAGTAAAAATTTGCCAGAAAGACTCAAAACTCCTGAACGTGGCTCTGAATTACTAAAGGGAAAACTTGAAAACTCAGGCTCAAAGGAAAGTACAGGTGAGCAGAGCATTTCAAATGTGGAGTTTTAGTTGTCTTCAAGTTGTGAAGTCAGGATGGTACTGTTCCGACACCTATGTGGATAATATGCACAGCACACTGTCTGTCAAAGAAATTTACCAGAACTAGGTGCCCAGGGGGACTTTCTGGAGGGACTTCAGCATACATACATGATTTATTGAGTGATTAGTCTCAGGTTCCAGGACCACAAATCTGAAGCTCCTCACACTGGATTTTTTTTTTTGGGGGGGGGGGGGTGTGAGCCTCTAACTAAAGTCACATGGCTATGGGTAGAACTAAATCCAGGTCACATCAGACCATCCCCTTTGACCTGAGCTCACTAAGCAAACATACAGACCTGTGAGGTTGAGGGAAAACCAGGCCTTATCTTTGGGCAGGACCCAATCCTTTATTGCATATCCTCCAAATCCCAAATCTCCTGCTTCTAGAAAAGAAGTCCCTTCCAAACTGCAATTAGTTTCACCAAAAGTTATTTTCTGAATTATTAAGTTCAAGAGTTTGTACTGTTAAAAATTCTGAATGGTTATAAAGAAGTTGGTTTATTTAATGAGATTGAGATTGCAAAGGAGTTTTGATGATCAGTTTTTCATCACTGTGAAAAATGCCTGAGAAAAATCATTTAAAAGGAAGAAATGATTGTTTTGGTTCACAGATTCAGATGATTTAAAGTTCAGCTGCCTCTCTTAGTTTGAGCCTGAGCCAAGGCAGAATACCATGGTAGCAAGAATACCATGGTGTGTGATGGAGACAGCTGCTCACCTCATGGCCACCAGAAAATCAAAAGAGACAGGGGGAGTAAAGGAACCAAGACAAAATATGCCCTTCAAGAAAATATACCCAGTGACCTACTTCTACCTAGAATCCACCTCCTAATGGTCCATGCAGCTTTGAATTCATTAATGTACAATTCAGTAAAAATTAGCATCTTTATAATCAGAAGTTTGATCACCTTTAGAAGCTATGCAATCTGAGCACTGTTGTATTAAGGATCAAGATATGAGTTTCAGGGATAATTCTATTTCCAAAACACAACACTCTTAATTTGCTAACATATATAAATATGAGAAGTCTACTAAGGTTACTACTTACAGCATATTTCAAACAAATAGTTATAGCTGTTTGTAATCAGGAGGCAGAAGCAGGAAGATTATGAGTTCTAAGCCACCCTGGAGCCACAAAATATCCAAAGGCAGACTAAGCTTTGTAACAAAAAAGACCCTATCTTAAACCCAAGGAGTGGGAAAGTAACTCAGTGGTAGAATACTTCCCCAGCATGTGTGAGAGCATTTGTTCAATCTCTAGTACTGCAGAAAATATAGTTATAATAGTTAGAAAATAAAGTTTAGAGTTTCACGGCAAAGTTAGACTAAATAGAAACACCTTGTCTCAAAACAACAACAATGGAAGGAGTTTCCACAGGAGACTCTAAAGCCACAACTGAAAATGAATGAAAATATGTCAAGGTAAATAATGACAATTCAGTGTGTGTTAGGCTAAACATGTACCAAATTCCCCTGGAAATAGTGAAGCTTTCTAGGAGTTCTACAATAAATAGTGAATTTCTCAAAGGTTGTCAGTAAATTTGAAATTTCTTTGTTTATATGAGCATGTTGAAGAGACTTCCTTGTAGTACTATTATCTTTACAGCAAATAAAAATCTGAAAGATTTAATGACTGACTAACTAGGCACAGTGTCACTAACCTGATAGTCCAGCAACAGGATTAAGGCGGAAAGATCCAATTGATGAGAGAGAGGAGGGATTCTGCAGGCGGGGGATGTCGAGATCATTATGGGAAGACATGCAGAGATGACCAGCCACACTAGTGGAAGCCCATGAACAGCAGACTAGTGGACCATGGAGCCCCCATGGGACTGGACTAGGCCCTCTGGATATGGAAGACGGGGGGCACCCAGGCGGGGGGATCAGGATCCGTCCCTGGTGCATGGGCAGGCTTTTGGAAGCCTAGTGCCTGTGGTGTGATGCCTTGCACAGCCTTGGTCAGTGGAGAGGGGCTTGGACCTGTCTAGGCTCAGTGTGCTGGGCTCTGCTGACTCCCCATGGGAGACCTTGATTTGGGGGGTGTGGGGATGTGGGGTGGCTTGGGAGGGAGGGCTAGAGGGTGGGAGGCAGGAGGAGTGGGAATCTGTGGGTGATATGTAGAGTGAGTAGAAAATTTCTTAATAAAGAAAAAAAAGAAAACAGCTCCAACATTCTTCTCTCACACACACAAACCATACACACAAAGACATAATGGTATGTAGAGTGAGCAGAAAATCTCTTAATAAAAATAAAAAAATCAGCCTGGAAAGATATGTCCACTGGTGCAATAGCAGGAGTGTAATTGACCACTTTCTGATTGGATTTGAAGCCTACGTAATAACACAGAACTCACACCTAGTGCCATTAACAGGCCAAGAATCTGTGGCTGGCTATGTTATAGACCTTAGATGAGAACCTAATATTAAATGAACAAAGTAATAAACTATCCCTAAGCTCTTACTGTTATACCCATAGATTAGTAAATCTCTCAACTCCTCATCAGAGAAACTGCTTTTTGCAGTTGATGGTGATTAAACACAAATCAGAGACTGTGGATTGATCAGTCCTAAGTGGAACATCTGTATCATACCCCTGCCCTCAGGCTCAGGGATCATCCCAGAAAAGGAGGTGGGAACACTGGAAGAGTCAGAGGTACTGGACCTATCTAGTGAAAGTGTGTGGATATGGCATTGTGCTTTCACACATGAGCTCATAGAGGCTGTTACTGTAGCATCAGACCCGCATAAGATTAAGCCAGTGAAAATCCTAGCATGGTTGGGCAGAGGTAGTCATGAATTCCCACCCTTAGCTGAAGAACTATTCACAACTGATGGATTATGGGTGGAGAGGGGAATCAATTTTTTTGCCAAGGATTTGGTGTATCTCTGCTTCTAGGATTTTTTTTTATCTCAAGAGAAGGAACTTAGCATGGTTAGAACTTTATCATTTGCTTATTTTGTTTTTATTCATAAAGGAAAACTGGGGGTACTTAATGCTATGACATTGGTACTTAACTCAAGGTCACATTAAAGTATTTTCTCCTTAAGTATGGTATCTTCACTAGGGCAATTAATGAAGAAAGAGAAAAATTGTCCATGCCTGAACATAAACTCTGATTTGCAAACTTTGAACAGACCTAGTAATATTAATCAGCAATTACAAATAATTGCTGACATATGCTCTTTCTCCTTAAGCTTTCACAACAACACAACATAGAATTAAAAATACTTATATAAATAAGAGTAAGCAACATTTTTATTATATGTCTAGTACTAATTATAGTGTTTCCTTTTATGAAAACATAAGTAGTATAATATTCATGTATAATGTGCAGCTATGAAAATAGACAACTATAATCCAGCATATTAACTGTGGGTTGAGACTGCTTTTCCCCTAATATGAATATGGGTTTTGAATGTCCAGAACAAGCATATGACATTATGATAATACCCTCCATGTGCCATCCTGTATTAGCCATTTAATCATGTAATAAAAATGTAACAAGGGGGCTGATGAGATGACCTGCCACCAAGCCTGACAGTGTACGTTCAAATTCCTGAGACTGACATGGTAGAAGGAAAGAATTGACTCCTGAAAATCATCCTCTGACCTCCCCATATGTATTTATGTATGTCTGCCTCCCTCCATCCATCTATCCATCCTTCCCTCCCTCCCCCTCTCCCATGAATAAATAAATGTAATAAAAACTTAAAAGCAGTAACAACCTCCCAAACACCCTCTTCTTTTATACTTAGTCCATATTGAGAATAGATTTATTGTTTCTTCTGTCAGTCTGCAAAAGCAAGTTCAATTTCAAAAGGGTAGTCATGTGAAGGTTATGAAGTTTTCCTGAAGAAGTGGCCTCACACAAAGTTTAAGTATCTGCTATAGTTTGGATCTGGTTTGAGTCTGTCCTTCAGGGCCTCATGTTGAAATTTAATAACTAGTATGTAGTACTCCTGCAGGTACTCCATAGTCTTTAAACAGTAAGCTGTTCTTCAGTGATAGGGTCCTAGGCCAGGAGAGGAGAAGATAAAGAAAAACAGAAAATTTGGGTTTGGGAGGTCTTGCACAAGCTATGTCTTTTGCCAAAAAAAATCTTAGTAGGAAGCACAGGATCATGTAGGGTGGTGGTGGTGCATACCTTTAATCCCAGGATTCAGGAGACAGAGGCAGGTGAGTCTCTGAGCTCATGGTGAGCCTGGTCTACAGAGTTCCAGGACAGCCTGGACTACACAGAGAAACCCTGTCTCAAAAAGAAAAGAAAAAAAAAACAAGAACAAAAGAAAAATAAGTATTGATCTTATATACTATCTGCAGGGGGAAATGGCAAGGCCACTGGAAAGTTAAATTAGGCAATGTTGGCAAAAGGGTACTTTGGAGACCCAAATTACTCAGAGTCAGAGAATCTGAGCTTGCTTTACCCAGAGGGCTGCATAAGGGGATGATTTGACCATGGGCATGGTTATCAAGTATTTGAAAGGGTCTGCACATGGCTGTATCTAGCAAGGGGGAGGTCTTTTGCCTCACCCTTGGGCATTGTTATAAAAAGCCCTTTTGAATAAAGTTCTGGGCCAGTGGGTATTGACCCAAGTCCTGCCAAAGCTATTTTGTGTTTCTTTCTTCTCATCAACTAGGTCTGTCTTTCTACCTGATAATTTTTTATCCCTCTCTCCTTTAGAGTACCCAGGAAAAAGTGGGAGCATGCCTCCCACAGAGCACAGGATACTTAAAATGTAGTAGCCTTAGGACTGATAACCCACAACTCTTGTGGGGAAAAAGCCAGGTTTCCAGGAACAGGAACTTTAACTCCTTCCAGATCCAGGTTCCAGCCCCAGACTAGATGTTGCAGAGTCTGTTCCTTGAAAAGGACACAGAACTGATGTCCTTTCATCAGGGTCTCTGAGAATGTTGGGTCAGTCTAGCTCCAACAGAGGTGGTCTCCTTTAGTCTTAGCTTGAAAAATCCTGCAAAAGGCATTGAGTGGCTGAGTTTAGTTGCATTTTGTTATTGGCTGGTTATCTCTGCAATGTTGTTGGGCTGGGCTATCATCAATCTATAATCCCTATGAATAAATTATGTATATCTGTAACTCATGAGATAGAAGAGTCTGGCTTTAATATCACTTATATTTGATGATTCCCAGATCTGACCTGAGCCTGACTTGATCTCATGCCCAAATTCTACTAATCATTAGTTTAACAGAAGTAATGTTTATTTGATTATCTAAAGTCTTATATAAAGTTTGTTGTGTAAAGTTGTCTATTTGGGAAAAAATCTCTGGAATAAGTGTGTTTACTGAAATTCATTTCATTCTGACCAAAATGACATAGTCCCAGATGACTGTAAAATGATGTTGAAATATAATCTCCCAGTGTATCCAAGAAAATATAACCAAATATTGATGAGTGCAGAGAGTATTTTTTACTAGAACTGCTGAGTTATAAAAGTTGTAACAATGAATGGGATTTACTCATGTTGTCTATCCAAAAGTCTCATCATCTTTTTACAAAAATTATTTTATATTATTTAGTGTCTTCCCTGCTTACACACACACACACACACACACACACACACACACACACACACACACACACATCTGTATGAACCACCTGTATGCTTGGTGGTCAGGAGATCAGAAGAGGATTTTGAATCCCCTACAAATGGAGTTACAGATGTTTGTGAGCCACCATGTGGGTGCTGGAAACGGAACCCAGGTCCTGTATAGGACCAACAAGTGCTCTTAACCACTGAGATATCTTTCTAGCCCCTTATAATCTTTTTTATCAGCATATATTAATTATACAATGTGGAGGTTTTATTATACATCTTACAACATGTATCAATAAATCTCAATTTTAGTTGTCATCATCCTCAGTTATCTCAAAATCTATATCAAATCTATATGAATAAGGGTATAATCATATCAGTTGGCTCTACCTCAAATCCATAAAAGAAAAAGAAATTTTTTGACATATTCCATACTAAAATAGCTTAATAAGGTGTGGTAAATAACATACTGAAGAGGCTCTAACAGTCCTGAGCATGGAAAATATTACAGACAAGTTTTGTTCTTTTACCCATTTTTCTCTTCCTTGCTAAAAACTCTTACATTCCTAAAGGTCTGTTTCCTTATTTGGCCTGAGACAAAACACCAAGATCCAACAATCAAAATTTATTATTTGACTAATATGTCCGGTCAGGACTTACTAACTCACCCTAGTACAGACACCCCCACTTTCCCCTTAAAAGCCCACTAATATAGAAACATCTTTTCTTGCTCTTATTATCTTGCTTTTCTTGTTCGTTTTGTTTTGTTTTTTGCTTCCTTGCTGCTGCTGCTGCTGCTGCTGCTGCTGCTGTTACCTTTGTAGCCCCTCCATTGTCCCCCAAATCTTTTGTGCTGAGAACTTGGTCTTGGAGTGTCTTGTTCTGACCTCCCTTTCAGTGGCTTCATGACTCATAATGACTTGGATGGGTCTTCAGAACCTCCAACCCAATTCTTGAACTTCCTGGAGAACTGATAGCTATTCACTTCATCCAACAGTGGCTAATTGGTGAGTTTACCCTTACTGTCCATCCTAAACACTCCCCAAAACAGCAAGTGATGACTGTTGAATGTCTGGTATCCATGCTCTGTCTTGTGGGGCCGGGAGAACGCACTCCACCATGCAACCATGGCCTTCGGTGGCCAAGGTGGACTCCCTTGGACATCTGACTGGCACATTCCAGTCAGGTTGGTTGCGTGTTTTCCTTTCACTTTTGGTGGCCACTCCACTGGATTCCAGTGTCCATTCCTAACCATTCTAAAATCCTGTTGACAGGTCCCAGAATTCTATTCAGACCCATTGTGTCCTTCTCTTGGTGACAGAGCTTGGGTGATGATTTCTCCCTCACAGAGGCCCTTATAAGCCATTTGAAGTCAGAGAATTGTCCTCAGTTCTCCACTCTCTCAAGACCACCACAAACAAAGGGAATCTGCTCTCTCCATTCCAACTGAAAACTCCAACACACACCTAAAACTACTAACACTCAAAATTAGCCCTCATTCTCCCTAAAACAAAAACAAAAAACAAACAAACAAAAAGAAAATGATAGCCTTTACAATTTTGTGGGCATGGGCAGAAGGAAGGATATATAACATATAACCTCACATATGCCCCACCTCCCATCTTCCTGACTTCCTGTTACTCTGCCTGCCTACTTCTGAGCTCCATCTGTCCTACTTGCTTCTAATTGCCACTCCAAACTTTTCTCATGAGCTTTCTGTTTTCCTGTTGGCCATCCAAACCTCTGTCACAGCTCCAAAGAACCACTGTGACTAACAGACAGCCCAAGGCTCTGAGCCCGCTCCCTCAGCCAGTCATGCTGCCCCTCTGATGTCCCCAACCTCCTCTGACGTTCCCCCCACAGGTAAGCCATGGTCTTAATAGCTCCAGGAGCCCTTGCAGCCAATATGAGTGTTCCAAAAGGCCTCCTCTTTTCAGCCCTCCACCAGAGCCAAAGCCCCACCTTCTCTTTCTGTAAGGCTGCCACCATCTCCAAGGCCAGCCAGTGTCCCTGGTCATCTGCCCAACCCAGCCACACTCACTCATGTACCAGTCCCACATTCACTGTTAGATCCATGGTCAGCAGCAGCCTCTGCTCCGCCCCCTTCCTGAAGCCAAATTCTCCACTTTTGATTACCAAGTAGTTTCTCTCCCTCTCCCCACAAGCTGCAATATACTCCATGGCCCTGTTACCTTACACCTCCCTCTGCCTTCTCCTTTCTTGTTTGCTTTTTTCTCAGCTTAACCCTTTCCTGTACTGAACTGTCTGCTCTGTCTATTCCTCCTACAGCTTTCACAAACATGAGATACAAAAATATATCTTGCTCTGTTGTACACTTCCAAGACACTCCTATCTCCCTCCTCCCTTCAGCAGAATTTCATCTTTCTGCCCTCTGTCCCCCTCCTTGGGCAGCATGCACCTATAAAGTTAAGCCTAAAATCAGACATATTAATAAATAATGTTTCTCAAACTCCTCAGAGATCTGCTGAATATGACGTTTAAAATGATTAAGCTTTCCACTATAGGGACATAACCATGCCTAACACAAACCTGTGGTCTCCAAAGAAGACAGATAGTATACGATGGCAACTTCACCTGTATTGTGGTAACACTAACCATTAGGATAAACTATCCCATCCCTCATCTGCCACCAGGACTCTGCTCAACTAAGCACTTTTCAGTTGATTGCACAACTGTGCCTAGTCAACGTAAGGTCAATTCTCCCAAGTTCCTCTACAGAAAAAAAAAATCTCTTAGACCTGGGTCTGAGAGCCAAAGACCCATTGCTCTGTATGACAGCTGAAGACCTGCCCAGCCATCAAGACCATGGGAGGCAACGGGTCCATGGCTAATGAAAAAAGTCTCTATGATTTTAATGAATACATAGACCATTTAGATTATGCCTCCTATTACAATGACTCTGATGATATTGACTGACCAGCCTGAACCATATCACTCACTCCACTCACCCATCTCCCTCACCCGTAGTAGGAATACATAGCCAGTCCTCCAGACCCCTCCAAACTCCACCCTTAACTTACTCCTTCAAAGGCTTTTCTTTTCCCACTCCTCTCCCCACATTCCTTCATGTCCCATTCTCTTACTAAAAAAGATATCCTTTCCAAACTGACATAAATTTTGCCTTTCCCCCCCAGCAACAGCTCCCATAACACCCCTGCATCCCACCTATTTGTAGCCATAAGTTTCTCCAGTCCCACCCAGCCTCATGGTCCCCCAGCTACTTATAAAATAATTACACAGAGGCTTATATTAATTACTAATTCTATGGCCTATTGGCTCAGGCTTCTTGCTGGCTAGCTCTTACAGCTTAACCCATTTCTATTAATCTATCCATTGCCACGTGGCTTTGTGGCTTACCTGTACTTTCATGTCTTGCTTCTCCTGGACATGACTTGCAGTGTCTGTCCCACTTTCTTTTCTTCTTCTCACTCTCCAGTTGGAACTGCCTAACCTTATTCTGCCTGACCATTGCCCAAACAGCTTTATTTATCAACCAATCAGAGCAACACATATTCACAGCGTACAGAAGGACATCCCACAGCACCTCTTCCTTTCCTCAGCCTCTATTTGTACACTCTCTCACTCTCCAAAATCTCAAAACCTTCCTTAGTTTTTAGTCAACTGTACTATATGAGATACCACATCTCTTTGCCTTGCTGCATATCATAAACCACTTTCTATTACACTAAAAAACCCTTCTGCCTACATGCTCAAACTCCCAACCCCTGCCCTAATCTTAACCAGCCACAGAGACTCAGATCCATTATTCAATTCTTTCTATATAAACTTTATACATCTCACATCTTCACTCTACAGTACTCACATAGTAACATATTAACAGTTTTAAAAAAACTAATAAAATGTTTTGCTTTGTCCAGGACTTTCACTCCATTAATGCTACAGTTTTCTCTCTATACCCTGTAGTCATTAACCTTTAGGATATTCTCTCCATTATCTCTAACAACACTACTCACTTTTCAGTCCTAAATCTTAAAGATACTTTCTTCTCAATACCCCTGGATGTCCACTCCCAAGACCTTTTTGCCTTCATATAGATGGATCCTGACACTTAGCTTTCCTGACAACTGACCTAGACTGCCCTCTGCCAAGAATACAGAGAGACAGCTCTCACTTTTTTAGCCAGGCCTACCTTTCCCCTTTTCCCTCCCACCTGCTTCAGTATGTAGAGGACCTCCTTTTCGGTCCCTCCCTTCTCTGATAGCCAATCTGACACCACCTCATTTCTCAATTTCCTCAGCTGCAGGAGATATCAGCACTCACCTTCCAAAGCTCAGCTCTCCTTTTCCCAAGTAACCTATCCTGGATTCTTTCTCACCCCAACCTCACTTTAGACTGCCTTACTCATCTCCACTCTTCATCTCCACCCTTAACAAAATACCCTTCAATCTATTCTCAACACTCTCTCTCTCTCAACTCCTAACTTACAGAGAATTCCAATTCCTTCCACAGTCTCAGATTCTTCCAAATTTCTGTGATCAAAAAAATTCATCACATTTCTATTTTTTAACATAATTTCTTTATTGATTCTTTGGGAATTTCACATCATGCACCCCAATTCCACTCATTTCTCAGTGCCCCCCATATCCTCCCTTCACCTGTGCAGCCTCCCCACCAAAAGAAATTTTTAAAAAACAAAAGCCAAAACAAACAGAAAAAGAAAGAAAAAGAAAAAAAACCCTCTTCACTTCTTCATCTTCCCCACCTCTCCAACACTTCTTCGTCTTAGTGGCATTGGGAGCTGAGGTGTGTCACACAGTATACCCTTTTGTCCAATCAGCTTTACTTGTAAATGTTCATTGCAATGAATCATTGATCTGGTTCAGGGCTTCTAGTTTCTAATATACCATCATCATTGGACCCTTACCAAAACTCCTCTTAGATATCTAGCAGTCATGGAGAATCATAGAATCAATGAGATCCTCTGGATATCATTCCACAGGACTAGTCCCTTCACACAATCCAGCAGGTCATCAATGGGTTAGAAGTTAAGGTGGGTCAACCCAAGGCCTTGAATGTTTACCTGGGTGGTAGCTGACCTGGACAGTTCAGGCCACTGGGACTGCCCACCTCAGGCAAGGGGCAGAGCCAGCTCACTTATGCCCTGCTGACAGGGCCAGTTCTCCTACATCTCTGATGAAGGGTGGAACCATGTCTCCTGAGTGGGAGGTGGGGGCAGCTCTCCTACTGCAGAGTCCATTGAGGTACAGGGTCAGCTTCCCCAAGGCCCAAGGATAGTTCCTATGGCTCCCTGTGGTAACATGGCCACAGACATCAACACAGACCCCAGCTGCAGCATGACCATGGTCCTCAGAAGCAGCTCAGGCCAGGATGACACCATGGCTCCAGGTGGCCAGACAGGCCACTCAGATCAGCATGGCTCCAGCGGCTTCTATGTGGCCTTTGGTGACAACACAGGCTTCAGATTTCAAAGCAGACTCCAGCTGTGGTAAGACCACAGACCCAGACATGGTTCTTGTCAGCAGCCTTGGACTGGATGTCACCATTGCCCCAAGTGGAAGTGTGGGCCACTCAAATCGGCATGGCGCCAGGATACCAACATGACCCCAGGTGGTGACCCAGACCCCAAGCATCAACATGACCTTCGATGGTAACATGGGCCATGAACATCAATATAGACCCCAGCTGCAATGGGGCCATGGGCCCAGACATGGTCCTCACCTGAAGCTCTGGCCAGGATGTCACCATAGCACAGGATAGCAGTGCAGGCCACTCAGATCTGTATGGCCCTTGCTGCAGCATGGCCCTTGGACACTGGTGGTTTGAAAGAAAATGGCCCCCAAAGGGAGTGGCACTATTAGGAGATGTGACCTTGTTGCAGTAGGTGTGGCCTTGTGGGAGGAAGTATGTCACTGTGGGGGTGGGCTTTGAGATTTCTTTTCTCAAGCTTCACTCAGTATGACAGTCAGTTGACTTTCTGCTGCATTTGATCAAGATGTAGCCAGTACCATGTCTGCTTGCATGCCACCAATGCTCCCCTTCATGATGATAATGGACAGAACCTCTGAAACTGTAAGCTACCACCTCAATTAAATGTTTTCTTTGTAAGAGTTACCATAGTCATAGTGTCTCTTCACATCAATTAAAAACCCTAGCTAAGACAGAAGTTAGGACCAGAGGCTGGAGTACTGCTGTGATAGGCCCAACCATGCATGCCTTTGTGTGGAGTAATATGGACCTTGGTACTTTGGGTTAGGAAGCAGTAGGATGCTTTAAGCAGTGCTTAATAGAGGATATTATTAGGAGCATGGAAGACAATGGTGCTGATAATGATTTGAAATGTTGGGAGCTGGCTCAAGATGTTTCAGAAAAGTATTAGTATGTTGTCTAGAAATCATTCTCATGATATTTTGGTAAAGAGAGTGGATGCCTTTTGCCCTTGTCCAAAGAGTCTTCCTGAGGCTAAAGTAAAGAGTTTTGGATTAATTCTATTGGCAGAAGACATCTCAAAACAGCCTAGTTTAGACTCTGTTGTATGGATATTAGTGTTAATTCTAATGGAGATTTATAATTAAAAGTCACAAGTTGAGAAGAGTAAATTACAAAATGTAAATTTTGAGGAGAAAAAGAGCACCAGGAAGTGGAATAGAACTAAATCCTGTGTTCAAGGAGAGAAATAGATTAAGAAATGGAACAAACGGAGTGATGACCTCTGGGCAAGATCTCACCCCTCTAAATTTCTAACTTGTGAAAAGAAAAGCTTAGAACCAGGAGTTAGTGACACACACCTTTAATCTCAGCACTGGAAAGGCAAAGGTTAGCAGATCTCTGAGTTTGAGGACAGCCTGGTCTATAGAGCAAGTTTCAGGACAGCCAAACTTAGGCAGTGAAGGACAGAAGCTAGTGATGTAATTGAACAAAGGGGCCATGTTCCAGCCCCAATAAGCAGCAGAACTTGGCAACTTCAGCCATGTGTTTCTGGATTTAGAGTTAAGGATAGAAAAAAAAGTTATGGAATAAAGCCATTGAGGCCAGGCATATGTCATGGTTGTTCCTGAGTAGAGACCTAGTTAGAGAGGCCATTAAGTGAAGCTGTGAAGTTGAAACCTGGATTGCCATGGAGAACCCAAGATGTTAGAGATGCTAGAGTCATGGGATACCAGTCAAGGAGAGCGGCTAACAGGGAATGGGACAAGCCCAAGAGAAGGAAGTGTGTTGCAGTCAACAAAGTTGAACAGAGTTGGGGACCTGAAGAGCACTTCAACATCAGATGAAGATGCAGTTTGGAGTTTGCCCAGCTGGTTTTCAAGTCTTGTTTTGCTCCAGTATTTCCTCTCTTTGCTCCCTTCCTTGTGTTTTGGAATGGTAATGTATATCCTATATCATTATATGTTAGAAGTATGTGAATTGTGTTTTTATTTTAATTTTATAGGGGATTACAGTTAAGAGACTGCATGAGTCTCAGAAGAGATGTTGGACTTGAAACAAGTTTGGAACCATTATGAACTATGAGGACTTTTGAAGTTGGACTGAATGCATTTTTGCATTATGATATGGCTATAAGCCTTTGGGGGTCAGGGAGTAGTATGTGGTGGTTTGAAAAAAAAATGGCCCCCAAAGGGAGTGGCACTACTAGGAGGTGTGGCCTTGATAGAGTAGGAGTGCTCTTGTTGGAGGAAGTGTGTCACCGTGAGGGTGGGCTCTGAGGTTTCTTTTCTCAAGCTTCACTCAGAGTGACAGTCAACTTCCTGCTGCCTTCTTTTCAAGCTGTAGCCAGCACCACTTCTGCCTGCATGCTGCCATGCTCCCCATCATGATGATAATGGACTGAACCTCTGAAACTGTAAGCTGCCACCTCAATTAAATGTTTTCTTTGTAAGAATTGCCATGGTAACCAGGCGGTAGTGGCACAAGCCTTTAATCCCAGCACTCGGGAGGCAGAGCCAGGCGGATCTCTGTGAGTTCAAGGCCAGCCTGGGCTACCAAGTGAGTTCCAGGAAAGGTGCAAAGCTACACAGAGAAACCCTGTCTCAAAAAACCAAAAAAAAAAAAAAAAAAAAAAAAAAAAAGAATTGCCATGGTCATGGTGTCTATTCACAGCAAACAAACAAACAAACAAACAAACAAACTAAGACAGACACCTACATGGCCTCAGGTGGCTGACCAGACCCTGGGCATCCACATGGCCCTTGGTGACAACAGGAGACACAGATGGCAACTCAGACCCTTGCTACTCTAGGGCAATGGACCCAGACATGGCTCTCAGCAGCAGCTTGGGCCTGGATGACATTATGGCCCTGGGTGGCAGCACAGGCCACTTAGATCAGTGTGGCTCCAGTAGCAGCACAGCCCTTGGACACCAACAAGGCCACAGGTTGTGGCCCAGACCCTGGGGCTTCCATGTGGCCTTTGGTGGCAACATGGGCCATGGACCATCACATTTCTTAACTGTAAATACAATATCATGACAACATGACAGCCCATCAAGCTACCCTTTCACCCCTTATGACTCATCCCACTTCCCTCAAGACTACCCTACTACATAACCCAGATGACAACGTACTGAACCTTCCTTCAATATAGGACATCATTCGCTACTTAGATCAAATATTTTACTCTAATACTAAATCCCTTCTGTTCTTTCTCCAAACACATCTGACTCTCACCCTAAGCCTTTTTTTACAAAGCCAAACCCAAAGCTACAATGTCTGTCACCAAACTAATTCTACCTCTACTATACAACCCATTACTTTTCCCACTCACCAAGTTATATAGGTCTGAAGTTATGACAGTCTAAGAGAAATGTTTTAAGGCAGGTAAATAAAAATTATAAAGGTCTAAGGAGATGGGAGCTTAAGTAAGCTACAAAAGTCTGTAAATGCACAAATGCACTGAGGTGCACACCACACCAACCAGAACCAGTGAGTGACCTGCTTGCCAGTGGAACTGTAACTTTTTTTGGATTGTGTCCCCTGTTACCTTCCCCAAGGTGTCTCAACCTGCTTGGACCTCCTCCTAATCCCAGAAGACTTCTGCCAAGCAAGCCCAGGCCACACAAGCCAGAATGGGTGAGTGACCAGCCTGCCAGAGGAACTGTACTCCTCCTGCTTACTATCCCATGGGACCCCTCCACAGGCCTATGCCATCCCAGCTCATCCCTTGCCTTGCTGCTGGGCCATGCTTCCAACCCCAGTGGACTTCCACCACTGAGGCACAGACAATACCAGCCAGAAACAGTGAATGACCCTCCTGTCCTGTGGCCTACCCCCTCCCATCTCAGTACCACCACCACTGCTAGGCCCTGCCCCCAACTCTCACAGCTCTCACCAGTTGACAAGTAGGTGAGTGACCTGCCTGCCAGCTTGACTGCTGCCAACCCCTGGATGCTGCTCCCCCAAGAACCACACTTTCCACTGAACTCCTCCAACCTCATCATGCTGCCCATGTCTAGCCCTTCCCCACAACTCTGGCAGACTCCAGAGGATGACCTGGTTACCATACACACCAGTCAGAAGAACAGCCCCAGCAGCTTTGCCAGAAGCCAGGCTGGTACTGGGTACCCCAGAAGATGACTCAGGCTATACTGGATGTCAGGCTGAATCTACAGATCCAAAAAGATTTTGGCTTTATCAGAGGCCAGACAAGATCAAGGAACACAAGGCCCTCAAAACCCCAGCAGAGATACCCTACTGGACTTGAAGACTTGCCAGTCACCAGAATCCTTGGTCACTTAGACCAGAAGACCAGAGAGGAAACAGAAACCAAGGAACAAAACACCCATCCAACAAAGACAAACACTGGAATCAATACCTACACCTGTAATTATACCAAATCCAGGTGCCTAAATGTCAGTGTAAGAACACAATTGTCTAGTTAGGGTTTCTATTGCTGTCAAGAGACACCATGTCCATGGCAACTCTTATAAAGGAAAGCATTTAATCGAGGTGACAGCTTACAGTTTCAGAGGTTTAATCCATTATCATCATGGCAGGGAGCATGGAGAGTGGGAGTATGTGGTGTGCAAGCAGACCTGGTGCTGTAGAATTCTACATCTTTGATCCTCAAGCAATAGGAAATGAACTAAAATACTTCATGGTGTCTTTAGCATAGGAGTCTCCAAAGACCACCCCAGGGTGACACACTTCCTTCACCAAGGCCACACTTCCTAATAGTGCCACTCCCTATGAGATTATGGGGCCAATTATGTTCAAACTACCACAATAGTCAGTAACAGAAAGGGCATCAGAACCTAGTTATCCTGTGACAGCAAGACCTGACCATTCCAACACAGCTGAAGCAGAAGAAAATAACTTTAAAAATAACTTTATGAGAAATAATAGAGGTCCTTAATGAGGAAATAAAAAAAATATCTTTTAATGAAATTGAGGAAAACATGCCCCCAAAATTGGAGGAAATCAATAAATCCCTTAAAGAAAGCCAAGAAAAAAATGAACAAGTGAAGGAAATGGTTCAAGACCTGAAAATGGAAATAGAAGCAATAAAGAAAACACAAACTGATGGAATTCTGAAAATGGGAAATCTGGGTAAGTAAACAGGAACTATATGTGCAATCATCACTAACAGAATACAAGAGATAGAAGAGAGAATATCAGGCATTGAACATGCCATAGAGGAAATAGATTCATTGGTCAAAGAAAATGTTAAGTTTTACAAAGGATGCTCAATCATACCACAACGACAGTTGCCCAACTATGTTCATAGCAGCTTTATTTATAATAGCCAGAACATGGAAACAACCTAGATGTTCCTTAACCAAGGAATGGATAAAGAAAATGTGACATATTTACACAGTGGAGTATTACTCAGCTGTTAAAACAGTAACATCATGAAATTTGAAGGTAAATGCATGGAACTAGAAAAAAAAATCAAAGACATCAACATAAATCCAGATACACTGAATCTAACAGAAGATAAAGTGGAAAATAGCCTTGAATGCATTGGAACAGGAGACAACTACTTAGAAAGAATACCAATAGTGCAGACAATAACTTAGGCTCAACAGTTAATAAATGGGACCCTATGAAACTAAAAAGGTTTTGTAAGGCAAAGGACATCATCAATAGATCAAAAAGGCAGCCAACAAAATAGGAAGGATCTTGTTGAAGCCTATTTAGGTTTCTTAGTGGCTTTACCCAGCAGTCTGCATAAAGAGGATGATTGGACCATAGGCCTGAGTACGAGGTGTCTGAGATGGTCTGCACTTGGTTGTGCTGGGGGAAAGTCTTTTGCTCCAACCCTTCGTATTCCTTTAAAAAACCCTTTGGCAGAGACAGTCAGAACCTGATAGATTAGGATCCAGGCCCTCCTGCGGCTATCCTGTATTTTCTGTTTCTTTCCCCTCTTTCTTCTTCTTCATCTTTTTTTTTTTTTTTTTTTTTTTTTTTTTGGTTTTTCGAGACAGGGTTTCTCTGTGTAGCTTTGCACCTTTCCTGGATCTCGCTCTGTAGCCAGGCTGGCCTTGAACTCACAAAGATCTGCCTGCCTCTGCCTCCCGAGTGCTGGGATTAAAGGCATGCACCACCACCGGCTGCTCCTATTCAAGAGTACCCTGGGGAAAAGTGGGAGTGGGATGGCCCCCCACAGATGATGCCCAAACAGGGACAAAAACAAAGAAAAAAAAACATAAAAATTTCAGAGTACTTGGCAAATGTAGGAGTTAGACCCTGCCAAAAAGCAGTTGGACTGGTCTGGTTTTGTAATAAACAAAATAAAATGAGGCAGGGGGTTTTATCCTTGGTAGAAAAAGATAAAAAGGGACTAGAAGGATGTCCAAATATAAGGCTGCAGCATAAAATCTTCTCTATCAAGGTTTCTTTTTTTCTATCTCTCTCTTAATTTCTATCTATAAAAACTAAGGAAGATAAAATGCAATAATATAATATAATATAATACAAAAAACTTTAAAAAAGTAGCCTATAAAATATTGCATAAAGAAAAAACTTAGGGTAAAATAAGATAAGCAACTACACAGAGAACTGTGTCTTTAATTTTATAACTATGAAGCTATGGAAGCAAACTGGGAAAAATCAGAGAAAAAAAACAGGAAAAAAATTCCTATGGGAAGCTTTTGGTCCCAAGTGGCAGAGGAGAGAATTTTCCCTCAGGTGAATTCGAGTGAAATAAAACTTTCACTCTGCTGGTACTGCCACTCTATATGGAAACATCATGCCAACAGAGTTAGTTTCTGTTTGGCCATGAAGTCAAAGTTTAGAAGTTTTGGAAAAACTCGACAGGTGGTGGTGGTGCACGCCTTTAATCCCAACACTTGGGAGGCAGAGCCAGGTGGATCTCTGTGAGTTTGAGGCCAGCCTGGTCTACTGAGCAAGATCCAGGACAGGTATCAAAACTACACAGAGAAACCCTGTCTCGAAAAAAAAACAAAACAAAAAAAAAGGAGTTTTGGAAAAACTTGATGGTCTTTCTCAAAAACTGAAAGCTTTCTTAGAAAAAAATATAGTAAAATCTCTCTCTAAAAAGCTTTCAGAATTTTCTCTCTCAGATCCTCTTTCTATAAATGCAAAAATAAGAATCACCTGGAAATATTAGTATAGGAAATCACCTATGATTTGCTCTAAAAAAAAAAAAAAAAAAAACAAAACAAACATCTTGGAACAGGGCAAAACCTCTCTGCTAAATTCTGTCTTTCTTTCAAGCCAGGAAAAACAACAGTTACTTTGGACCTGAACCAGAAATCCCCCTGCAGCTAAGACCTAGCCATAAATGCGGTTAAGTGCACGGGGAGAGTCACAGAGAGTCGAATGGGGCAGGAAGTATGGTAGAAGCAATAAAGCCAAGCATTTTGGTTGAGGCTGAAGATGCAGCTGAGGCATCAGGGGCTTTGTTTCTGGGTGGGCAACGATTAGAATAAAAAAGTCACTCATAATCACCCTAGCACAAAGATCCCCTGAAGCAATGCAAAGCCCCTCTGTTAGCATTGTATCTCCACTTCTAAACAACAACTGAGAAGCATTGGCCAGCACCTCTGGATGAGAGTTTCTTCTCATTCTCTTTTTGGGTTTGATAACTAACAGTTTACTTTTATTTGTATTTCCTAAATTGTTGTGGGATGTCCTGTATGTTGTGAATAAATAAAACACTGATTGGCCAGTAGCCAGGCAGAAAGTATAGGGGGGACTAGCAGAGAGGAGAATTGGGGGAACAGGAAGGTGAAGAGGAGGAGATGCCAGCCTGCTGTCCAGGGAGAATCATGTAAAAGCAGCAGGTAAAGCCATGGAACACGTGGCAAAATATGGATTAACAGAAATGGGCTGAGTATAAGAGTAAGAGTTAAACAATTGGTAGGCCTGAGCTAATGGCCGAGCAGTTTAAATAAATATAAGCGGCTGTATGTTTATTTTATAAGTGTGCTACAGGACAGGGCAGGCATTTTTTGTAGACAGGGACAGAACAACATGGCAAGAGAGGAGAGGATGACAGAGGTTCCATAGAGGGTAAGCAGATCTCGGGTAGAGTTTTCTGAGTGCCAGGAGTAGAGAGTAGCAGAGATGGAGAGAGAGGATACAGAGGATGAAGATGAGGCTGAAAGCATAGGAGTTTAGTTGTTAGCAGGACTATGAGCTAGGGAGCTGGATGGAACTGCAGTTATGGAGACAGGATTTCATCCCAGAGAAATAAAGTAGACAGATACAGAGCTTGGTATGTCCAGAGTTGTTCCTGCCCTGAACGCTTGACGGAGCTATAGCTGTATTGATAGAATTTTGTCTTAGAGGAATAAAGTTAACAGACATAAGAACATAGTGTACATTGATTTTTTTTCCCTCAGATATCCCATGCTGGATGTAGCTAAGTCCCTGGACCCTGGGTACACCATACAGAATAAAACAGCTTCAGAGACTGCCAGCTTCAGAAAAGAGCAGCAGAGCATGAGCGGCTGCTCCAGCCAGGTATCCGCAACCCATGGAGTGTCATAGGTTCCCAAGCAGCAGACACCAAGAGCCAGTGAAAGCAGTGTCAGGACAAGCAAGGTTCTGCAAGATTTCTACCAAGAGGAAGCCATGGTGAGGAACTGAGTGGAGACACCATGCCATGAGAGAGGCGAACAGCAGGCTGCAGCTCTGTGGGAAAGGTGAACAGTGAGCAGTGGTGAGCAGTGGAGACTGTTAAAACCAGACTACTTCCAGGAGCAGAGAAGCAGTGTCAGTGCTGGATGAGCAGTTGAGACATGTGGGAACCCAAGAAGAATTGGAGGTGAGAGCCATGCTCCAGGCTGAACAGTCTTACTGAAGCTCTGCAGAAACTGCTGAGTGCTCCAGGCTGAACAGTCTTACTGGGGCTCTGTGGAAACTGCTGAATGCTCCAGGCTGAACAGCCAGACTGGGGTTCTGCAGGAGCTGCTGAAACCCAGCTGAGCTCCCAGCAACAAGATGTGGCTGGAACCATGGAGTTGCCCTGGGCCTACATTCAGCAGTGCAACAGGACAACATATGGAAGATTCCAGGACCCGGGATGCTGAGCACTGGACCATCGGCAAAGCAGGTAATGGGACCCTTCCAGAGCCAGGGTTGCTATGGGAAAGCCACAGCTCAGCTTGTAGCAGCTGGAATGTGGCATGAAGCGATTGAAAGCTCTCTAGCCTCAGGACACAGGGGTCCAGGAACAATCTGGTTATGAAAGACTACAGACTGCAAAGTACAGTGGTAGCTGAGAGCAAAAGTTTCAGAGAAGCTAACTTGAACTGAAAAAAAGTTTTGGTTATAGGACTCCTCATATTTGGAGCTCTTTGCTATACAAAGACTTAAGGGCAGCTGATGAGCTAGGACCTGATTTCGAGAACTCAAAGGAACTTCTAGACCTGGTACCAGAGTTTATTCTTTTGTACTTTTAGGACTTAAATGAAATGGACAGTAATGATTTCATTGCAATGATACTTTTGCATATAGACTCTATTAATTATGATGATTCATGAACTAGTTTTGTGTTAAAAACGGAATTGTTTAAATAAAAAGTTTGGGTTTAAAAAATTATAAAGAAAAGGGGGAATTGATTGCAATCTCTTAATATAACTATATAAACATAACATTAATTCACTCAAGTAACAAGAAAATATTTTTAAAATTAAATCTACTGGGAAATATCAATGTCTATTAAGACATTGCTTTTGGAAAGTTTTTAAAGTGTTAATGGTTATATTGAGAGTATTTCTTTTGAATGTAGCTTTGTAGGAATTATAATTGTGTATAGTAATGTTAATGTTAGAATTATGTTAACCTACTGATATTGAGGCACCATGATTTGGTGAGGTTAAGGAAGTATTTAAGTTTGATGTGAATATATCAAAAGTTTATCCTATATATTGTTAGCAAGAAATTCAAATGATTCTATTAAGAGTTTGCTTTAAGATGTAAGATTGAGAGGATTGTAATTATATATATATATATATATATATATATATATATATATATCAATATTTATGTTAGAATTATGTTAACCTGTTAATGTTAATGATGAAGCCAAGGGAGTCTTTAAGTTTGATGCGGTTGCATCAAGAGGTTTTTGAGTTAAAGGGCTTGATGCAGCTAAGAGTGATGTAGTCACCTTAGACTCATTCCAAAAAAGAAATGCTGTCTTTATCATCCTCTACTCTTATACTGGGAGGCATGACAGCTATGGTGATTGCTATGAGCCCTTAATGGGGAGTTTTTTTTTAAATATATTAAGAAGGAAGGACTTGTTGGGGCCCATTTAGGTTTCCTAGTGGCTTTGTCCAGCAGATCTGCATAAAGAGGATGATTGGACCATGGGCCTGAGTACCAGGTGTCTAATATATTCTGCACTTGACTGTGCTGGTGGGGGGAAGTCTTTTGCTCTACCCCTTGGCATTCCTTTAAAAACCTTTTGACAGAGACAGTCAGGGCGCTATGGATTAGGATCCAGGCCCTCCTAAGGCTATCCTGTATTTTCTATCTCTTTCTTTCCCCTCTATACTTCTATCTAATATTTCCTGTTGCTCCTATTCAAGAGTACCCTTGGGAATAGTGGGGGTGGGATGGCTCCCCACATGATCTTCACATCATCCTCACATCCAACAGAGGGCTAATTTCCAAAATACATAAAGAACTAAAGAAACTAGATATCAACAACCCAAATAATCCAGTTAAAAAATGGGGGTACATATCTAAACATAGATTTCTCAACAGAAAAATCTCAAGTGGCTTAGAAACATCCTTAGCCATCAGGTAAATACAAATCAAAATGACTCTGAGATTCCACCTTACATCTCTCAGAATGGCTAAGATAAAAAACACAAGTAATAGTTCATGCTGGAGAGGGTGTGGAACAAGAAGCACACTCCTCCATTGCTGGTAGGAATGCAAACTTGTACAACTACTTTGGAAATCAATATGGTGTTTTCTCAGAAAAATCTACCTCAAGACTAGCTTATATCACTTTTAGGCATATACCCAAAGGATGCTCAATTGTACCACAAGGACACTTGCTCAACTATATTCATAGCAGCATTATTCATAATAGACAGAACCTGCAAACAACCTAGATGTTCCTCAACCAAAGATTGGATAAAGAAACTGTGGTACATTTACACAATGAAGTATTAGTCAGATGTTAAAAACAATGACATCATCAGGTAATTTGCAGGCAAATGCATGGAAGTATAAAAAAAATAATCCTGAGTGAGGTAACCCAGACCAAGAAAGACAAAAATAGTGTGTACTCACTTATAAGTGGATATTAGCTATAAAGGATAACTGTGCTACAACCCACAAATTAAGAGATGGGTAACAAGAAGGGCCCAAGAGGGAATGCCTGGATCTCCCTGGGAAGGGGAAATAGAAGAAATCTCATGGGTGGACTGGGGGTGGGTAGGGATGTGAACAGGAGGGATCTGGGGGGGGGGGTGAATGAATGGTGAGAATACTGAAAGAGATGACTGGAAAGAAGGGCATTTAAGGGTCAGATAGAAACCTGGTACAAGGGAAACTCCAGGAATCTACAAGGATGACCCTAGCTAAGACTCCTATCAAAATGGGATTTGTAGCCTGAATTGGCTATTTCCTTGTGACCAGGCAAGTAGAGGAATTAGGACACCAACCCAGCCACATAACCTTCAACCTACAGTCTGTCCAGCCTATGGATTTGCTGGGGTAAGGATGCCGCAGAGATTGTAGGAGTAGCCAACCAACAACTGATCTAGCCTGAGACCCCATGACCCAAGAAAGAGTCCCTCCCTGACACTACCTGGAGTGCTAGCACCAGAAGCTGGATGGCCCAGAGACCATCCAAATAGTACTGGAGAAAAAAAATGTCAATGTAATGATTCCTAACAATATTCTACTGTACTCATAGATTGATGCCTAGCCCAATTATCATCAGAGAGGCTTCATCCAGCAACTGGTACAAAACAGATGCAGAGAGCCACAAACAAACATTAGGCAGAGCTTGGTGAATCCTGCAGAAGTGGGGGAGGAAGGACTGTAGGAGCCAGAGGTGTCAAGGACATCACAAAAAAACTCATAGAAACAACTAACCTGGGCTTCTAGGAGCTCACAGAGACTGAACTGACAACCAGGGAGCCTGCATGGGACTGAACTAAGCCCCTCTACATATATGTGATAGTTGTGTGGCTTATCTACTTGTGGGAATTCTAATAAGGAGCAAGGACTGTCCCTAATGTTTTGGCTGGGAATCTACTTCTAATACTGGATTGCTCTATCCAGCCTTAATACAAGGGGGGATGCTTAGTCTTACTGCAACTTGATATGCCATGCTTTGTTAATCCCATGGGAGGTCTGCCCCCTTCTGAACAGAAACAGAAGAGGAGTGGATATAGGGGATGGAAGAAAGTGGGGAATGGGAGGAGAGGAGGGAGGGGAAAGTATAGTCAGGATATAAAATAAATTAATTAAATTAAAAAAAATATTTTTAAAAAATTTTGTAAATGCAAGATGTAAGATCTGAGGATATGAAAGCTTAAGTAAGTTGTGAAGTTCTGAGGAAGTGATTTGAGGTATGAGTATGAGAAAGTAATTTAAGGTATATGAAAAGTTGTTTCAGATTTTTTTTCCTTCTCTCTATGCTATTGTTTGGGTTCCCAAATTTGGACTATGACTCCAAGACTTAAACCTACTGCCCTTTTTACAATGTAAATTTCAATACAGGTTACAAACAATGGTAATACTAACATATCTAAAACTTGTATCTCTTTTATCAACTTAAAAATTCTGATAAGCTTCAGGAAATTGAACTGTCACAGGTACAATGTATTCCAGGTAAGTACTCCTGTCAACCAGCAGCCTAAATTTCTCTACCTGTCTATTACTGAGAATGGGATCTCTTCCCATTTCCATGGGATCTCTTCCCCTTTCCCTGGTTTTGGGACTTACCTTTCCCAACTACCAGGAACATGATCCTAAAAGTTTCAAATGTACATCCAAGATTTTAAAAAAAATTTCCCTAAACTCCTTGACTTTATATATTTTTAGTCTAACTGTCCCAATAGATTTCAAATCAAGTGCAGACTGCTCCAGCAACTCCAGTGCCAGCCCAGCTGGTACATCCTGGTACAGTCTCACAAACTGCTCCAATGCTGCCTACACTTCCCTAGCCCCAGATGGACTGGCAGAACCTGGACATCAACTGATACAGCCTGCTCTTCCCAACCTTGACCAACATTCCAACTGTCTTGGGTCCCTAACAACAATGCCCAGATGTTAGCAGGAAGCAGCTAGAGAGAAGGAGTCACACTTAACTAACACCTAGTGACCCAATAATAATACAAAAGGTGGAAATGAAGGGCCTCTAACAGATGCAAGCATAGCAAACAGACCTCAGCATGGCAAACATTGCAGACAGGTTTTGCCCGTTTACACCCTTTCCTGTCCTTACTAAAAACTGTTACATTCCTAAAGCTAGCCCCCAAGGACTATTCACTTATTTGGCCACTGACTCATTTCTGAGACAAAATACCATGGTTCAACAATCAGAATTCATTATTTGGCTAGTATGTCCAATCAGGACTTACCAACTCACCCTAGTACAGACTCCCCCTTTCCCCCCTTAAAATCCTACTTCTGCAGAAACACCTTCTCTTGATTCTCTTGTTCTTACTTTCTTGTTTGCTTGATTCTGCTGCTGCTGCCCTTGTAGCCTTCTTCTCCTCCTCCAAGGTAATAAATCTCCATTACACTGAGAATGTGGTGTCTGGGTATGTCCTGTACAGATTATGGGAAGGCTGACCTCCCTTTCACATACAATAATCTACTTTTATTTAATTTATCATTTGTATTTTAATTTTGTCCATTAACCAAGAAATTTTATTCATTTATTTATTTGTTTATTTAGTTATTTTTTGACAGAATCTGGATATATAACTCAGGCTAGCCTCAAATTTAGGAAGCTTCTTCAGTCTCCTAATTATAAGAATTACAGGAGTGTGCCACTGTATCTGGCTCCATTAATGTTCTTTATAACATTCCCCTCAGGTCAAAGATTCAATACTCACAGACAACAAAAACAGATTT